AAAGAGTGCTATGAGATGATGTTACATTTCACAAAGATCAGGTTATATTTTACCCCAAATTTAGCTAAAAAAAATAGGAAATTTTGCAGACATAAATAAATTATTAAAAAAATTAAAAAAATAAATTTTCCATTACTACATTATTATTATTAATGATAGTGGAAATTGTCATGAAAATGTCACAATAAAAAAATAAAAAAATAAATAATAATAATTATTAATAATAATGCATTAAAAAATAATAATTATAATAATAACTACTAAAATAGGCTTCATTTTCTTTTTGAAAAATGTTATTACTTTTTGAAGGGATTGAAGATTATAATCAAAAGTAATTAATTCATGAGCAAACCCATTAGTTATTTAAGCTAATATGAGCTCCGTAGATCACATGTTGTAACCATATTACAAAATGGTAAGAAAGAAGGGGATTTACAATAATCTTAAGGAAGATGATAAAGACAATGAGAGTATGACGATTATATTTAGTAGTATTTGCATTATAATCCTTTTCATAATGGCTGTGGCAATCGCCTCATCATATCATTTAAACAGTGCAGTGTTTTTAAACCTTCCAGTAGATTTTTCTGGCAACTTGGCAATTAGAAGTTCAGAAAAACTAAATTGATAGAGGGTCTTTTATGTAACAGCTTGGTGGATGTTTTCTGAAGTTAACATTTCCAAAACATAATTTTTGATCAATCATTTCCTCCATACCATGAACCAAGTCAACCCGGTTAGAAACAAATAGAGTCCTAAAGAAAACTCATACCCACTGCTCTTTGTAGCTAAATGTGTAGTAAAGTGCAAAGAAAAAAAGATCCAATAAGTAATGAATAAAGGAAGAAAGAAAGAAAGAAAGAAAGGAAGAAAGAACTGATTCAACTGATGAGCGGTTACAGGTGTTTATATCAGCTATTTCACATGTACCACATACAATTAGAATTTGTGTACAATTAGAATTATGTGTATAAATCACTCAAGCCTCTTTCTTGTGAAACCTTAAACATCTCTTAAAATGTGCAGCATAATTACCAGTCTAAGTCCAGCATCTGCTGTGGGTTAGTAGATACAGCTCCCAAACTCAACCTGGTCTCATGGCAAAAACGTACCCGAGGGCACATTTTCACGAGATGCGAAATACGTACCAATAAGTACATATCACTGCAGTTTCCAAAAGAAATGAACACTAGAGGCAGTAAAACACAGACACCTTTTATTCCTTTTCACACACATTTACAGAGTTTCGATTAATAAAGCGTAATTTTCGCACAATTACTTGAAGAATATCATGTTATGTCTTCAAAACAATTTTAATATGCTGGGAGATTTGAAAACTGATGCTTTTGAACATGAGCACCGCACATATCCAGCTTCATATCAATGGGTTTTCATTGACGGTAGGTTTGTTCGGTAGCTCATGGAGTACGGAGTACAGAGACATACTTGAGAGGCGAGGAGCTCCGGTTCGAATCCTGTGTAACTACGGTTCGACAAAATGGTTCAAATCTGCATATAAGTAAGTTCAAATGACACGGTTGCATCAACAAATGGGTTTTTATATCAGTTTTGCATTTGTTAACACTATTGGGTAGGTTTAGGGTTGGGTTTGGTGTAGGGTATATTTCCAACACGATAGAGCATTAACTTTTAGCGACAGTCCCCGGATATTTGAATTCTGAACCGCCGTAATACGTACCTGAAGCAACGTAATAAAAACACAGCAATACGTACCTGTATCAACGTAATAAAAACGTGCCAGGGTTCACGTATTGAACCCATGTTTTAGCGCCACTCGGTGGACATTTCTCTTTGAAACTGCGGCGAAACGTGCAGTAAGGTATGTAAAAACGGTGTTGCAGAATAGTACCCAGAGGTACTTATTTTTATGAGACTGGGTTGCCCAAACTAGATAGAAAAGTTACATATATCTGACACAGGCAGATCTCTGAGGACATCTAGAAATAGCAGAGGCAATTTGTAAGAAAGATAAAAGAAACAAAGAATGACAAAGGATGTATTTGTGCAGTTTGGATAGTTATATGATATATTACAAATATACATGTAATATAACGTTTGTAAAGCAAATGCTTCCAAATAAAACAGTGCATCATCCATTTGTCTCTGAACTCACTTATTACCTCCTACAGAAATGCAAAGGAAATTCTAGAGTCTCTGTCTGTAGTAATGCTCTTTGTGGACTGACAGCAATCCATGTTCATTTTGTTTTTTGTTTTTTTCCTCACAGTGCCTCAGAGGAATGTCAAAAGTGCAGCAGAAATAAAGTCTCTTTTTATCACAAAACCAGTAACTGTAAACTGCACCAACTCTGGGCCATCTTAATACATAAGATGCTTCTTATTGCAACAGAAAAGGTATTTGAATGGAACATAGACTCCAAACAACATTAGAAATGCCAGGTCACAATTTTAACATAAATATAACACACTATATGCACTATGTTCTTTGTGTGTTTGTTTTTTGTATGTTTGCATTAACTTGACCTATCTGTCATATACAGTATCTATCCATCTGGTCTCTTTTGAAAGCAGACCCTTTCTCACAGTAGTACTGTAACATTTTAAGAGTGGCTCAAATAGACAAATGGCTAGGGTAGTGCTTCACTTTTTCATCTGAATATTTCCAAACAAATAAATAAACAAGTAAATGAATGCTAAGACTGGGATTTGAGAATCTTGAAACACAATTTGAAATAAAGATAAATTTATTATATCTAGTCTAAGTTTGAGATTGATTCTCACAAAACTGTATTTTCTGTATTTTTGTAGGTGTCTTTCCAAACCAAAAAGTATAAGGAGCCCATAGAATTCAAAACTGCATAAACTGTAAGAAAAACTATCATTTACATTTGTTTACAACATGTTTATACAAATAAGCACAAATCAAGGTGCGATACCAAACAAGATTGCATGGAGATGTCAAAATATCACTATACCAGCTATCTTTACCTGACTGCGTGTACCATACAGCTCCATTCTAATTTTCTGTATACCGCAAAATACACATGAAAATAAATAAATAAATAAATATATATATATATATATATATATATATATATATATATATATATATAAAAAATATATAGATACTATATATATATATATATATATATATATATATATATGAATCTATTAAAAATCAATAGATCAATAGACTCTGGTTGAATCATGGATCGGCTTGATAGAAGTCATGTTCTGGAGCGGAAAATGGGGGCATCTCGAGCAACTTTAATGGAACATAAATTGCCTAGAGATGTTGCCTTTTTTTCTAGCTTTAAGCTATTTTCTTACAGATATTTGGAACTGCCATGTGATCCTCTTTGGTTCTTTCTGTTGCCTCCAGCACCTCTGGGAGTAGACACTCTGGCTCATGCATCAACTGTGACTGCCTCGCTGTCGGACACTAAAACTCTTTGGATTGCAAAGACTGATTCCAAATCATCAGTTCTCATTCTGATAGATCTGACTGCAGTAGAGCCAACCATCAGATCGTTCTGCCCACTCTCTCATTACAGAGAAGGTATCCAAAGTACATCAACTTGGTGTACCTCAAGGATCAGTTCTTGATCCCCTCCACTTATCCATATTCTCTATATCACTGAGGCCCATTATATAGGCCCATGGTTTCTCCAACCATTGGTATGCTGATGACACACAGCTCCAGCATTCATTACAAACAGGCAATCCCATGGTAGCTGCATGAATCTCAGACTGCCTGGCAGATATCTTGAAATGGATGAAAGAACATGACCTGCAACTCAACCTAGCAAAGAAGCAAAGGGCTTCTGTTGCTACAATACAATTTTAGAACAGCAAGATTTGTCTTCAATGAGCCCAAGAATGCTCACATCACACCTCTCTTTATCTCTTTATGCTGGCAACGAGTTGCAGCTCGCATCAAGTTCAAGACACTGATGCTTGAATACAGAGCGCTTCTTTTATTTTTCTGAATTACACATGCAAAATTGAGTAATAATATTAGATTAAATGTAGGATGTTTTCCATGTATGCTCCAGGTTTTCAGGTTTTATCTGTTTGAACAGTAGTCAGTTCATGTTTTGTTGTCAGTCTGTGTTGAACTTGAGGCACATGCTAGCTAAATAGCAGTCACCTGTAGCATGGTGCTGTGGTAGAGAGTTCCCATAGGGTCAGTTACTGAGACAGCATTGAGTGAACCTATAAATGGGAACACCTTGGTTGCGCATGTAACCCTGGTTCCCTGAATAGGGATGTGTAGCCTACCACACTCCTTAATTTCTGCTTAATTAATCAAAAGCTCTGAGGTGTGATGGCTTCCTTATGAAACGCTGGTGATGCAGTGCCTCGAGTGGCTGCTTAAGTGGCATCAGTCATTGAATTGCTGTGTTTCTATATGGACTGCAGACAATCATTGCAATCATTGTGTTTTTCACCTTTTTGGATGGGTTGGGTCACATTTCTTAGACCATATCTCCATCTATCTTTACGTAAAAATTTGCATCAACCACTCTCATTTAAAAGCATTCTTCATCTACACTATCCATTTTTACTGGGCCTCTGCACATGTTTTTGTCTCTATTAATCATTTCTTAATCCATTAGACACTTCAAACTTCCCAATATATCCTTTGACAGCTTTCTTCAGGAAACATACATTGACCCTTGATACTTTCAAGAACAACATTTGTGATTGTGTTCTACATTTGTTGCTGTAATTTAATGTAATTTTTCTCCTTTAGCTGAATCTGACAAAACCACCACCCACTGTATTGGATGGTGCTGGATAAGTTATATTTCAATAAAGCGCAGTCAGAAAAATTAAAATCAAGCACTTCCTGTGTCCTGTGTGGGGATATTCACAAAGCCTTCATTCAAGAAAAACATAGAGAAACACTTTCAAAAATTACAATCCATAAAATGACGCATGTGTCCATGTATATAAGGCCAAAATAAAGGCATCGCAAAGCTACAGCAAGGAGGAAATAAGGAGCATAAGTCTCACCTCATCTTCAGGTTGCCCGGCTGTGGTTGTCCATCATAGATGGAGACAATGTCAAAGTCCTCCTCCAGAGCGAAGATGTGAAATGACAACTGTATCCTGTTCCGCTCTCCAGTGACTATGATCCACGTACAGTTGGCATAGTTTGGGTAGCCATGAGGAAAGCCAGGACTCTCTATAGTTCCATTGAGACCTTGTACCAAACCACCACAAGTTTGACCTAAGGACATAAAAATGGGAAGTTAGTGACCTCCATCTGTCATTACATTATTTTACATTTTACATTATATGTTTTTGAAACAGTTCTGCATTTTCAAACTCTAAAGCTGTAATAGTAAGTAATAAAATGTATGTACTTCTCACTCACTTCTCATGTCGCACAATATGGGCCATTCTACAGAACTGGTCCCCCCCCCCCCCCCAAAAAAAAAATAAAAAAAAAAAAAAATTTATAAATGTACAATTT